CTTCGAGCGGGTTATGTGGCATACGGTGCATTCCTCGAATTTGTCCTTGATGTCGAGGACCTTCTCGAGGTAGCGCTTGAGGTGCTCGTCATTTGTCGTGTATTCTCCCGATATTTGTTTTACTACTATTTGAGAATCACTGAAAACCTGTATTTTGCGGACACCAAGTTTTAGTGCCATTTAACCCCACTATCAATGTCTCGTATTCTGCTATATTATTGGTGACCGAGAAACCGAATCTCAGCGCATATGTATATTCCGCGTCATACTCTTTCATGTTCTCGATGTGGGATCATCTTTAGGTTCTACCATTCCTTTGACTTTGATAGCTCGAGGTGTTTATACTAAAAAAATCGGCGAAGGTTTGCCCTTTGATGGCTGATCGAGGCTTGTATTCGATATGGTGCTCGCCTAACTCGGCTGCTCATTTCATCATTCTGCCGGACGCTTCTGGTTTTAGCAGGACTTGCTGAATTCGTTGTTCCGTTAAAACCATGATGGGGTGTGCTTGGAAGTATGGGCGCAGGCGTCGTGCGGCCAAGAGTAGGTTGAGTATGAGCCGGGTTTCTGCTCCTTGCAAGACTTTGCTAACGAAATAGACGGGGACTTCTTTGCCGTCTTTGCGCTGTACGAGGACCGCCGAGACAGTTTTCTCTCGGGCTGCTAGGTAAACGTATAGTGTTTCTACTGGCTCAGGCTTAGCTAATGTGGGCAACTGCTTGAGGTGTTCTTTTAAGTCTTGGAAGGCTTCCTGGCATTCTTCATTCCACTCAAATTTTCTGCCTTTGCGGAGGGTATGGAAAAATGGGAGGCTTCTTTCTGCGGCTCGAGATAGAAACCTGTTGAGGGCCGCCAAGGAGCTTGTAAGCTTCTGAACTTCCTTGACGGTTTTTGGAGTTTCCATTGCTAAGATAGCCTCGATTTTAGCAGGATCAACACTTATTCCCGTCTTGGAGACTTGGTATCCTAGGAATTTTCCTGATCCTACACAGAAGGTGCATTTCTTGGGGTTCAGCTCCATGTTAATCTTGCGTAGTATTGTGAAAATCTCCCGCATGTCTGCGGCTACTTGCTCATCCTTATTTGTTTTTATCACCATGTCGTCCACATAAATCTCGACGTTCTGGCCGATCTGGTCATGGAAGACTCTGTTCACGAGATGCTGATATGTGGCTCCAGCATTTTTTAGTCCAAAGGGCATCTTGTCGTAGCAATATACTCCTATCTCGGTGATGTAAATTGTCTTTTCTGCATCTTCGTGAGCCATGAGGATTTGGTGATATCCCTTATAGGCGTCGAGGAAGCTTAGGACTCTATACCCAACAATGCCTTCCACCATTTGATCTATGATTGGTAGAGGGTAGCAGTCCTTGGGGCAATGCTTATTGAGGTCTGTGTAGTCTTGGCACATACGCCAGGAATTGTCGGGTTTTCGCACTAAGACCGGATTGGCTAGCCACGTAGGCCATAAGACTTCCCGGAGTATGTTGGCTCGGACTAGCTTCATCGTTTCTTCGTTGATGACATCATTACGTTCTCGAGCGAATACTCTCTTCTTCTGTTGTACCGGTTTGACATTTGGGTTAACATTTAACCTATGTTCTATGACTTCTCGAGGGACTCCTGTCATATCAGCCGGGGCCCCAGGCGAATATGTCCTGGAACTCTCGTAGCAAGGCGCTAATCTCGGTTAGCAAGGGGTCTTGTAGAGAAACCCCGATTTGGACGGTCTTGGTGGGATCAGACTCGTTCAAGACTAACCCTCACGTCTTGCTACTGAACGAGGGAATGTTGGGTGTCTCGGTGTCTTCTACCTCAGGTGGGTAGACCGTTTGTCGAATCGAATAGCATTCTGACACAGCGGACCCTGGGTTAAGGTATGCAGTTTTCTTTCCAATTCTGACTGCAGTGAGCAAGCATTCTCGAGAACTCCGTTGGCATCTTTTTACTACTCCTACTCCATATTCCGTCGGGAATTTCATTACCAAGTGATAGGGAGACCATACCGCCCGAGCTTGGACCATCCAAGGTCGCCCTAGGATCACATTAAACGGTGAGGGTGCATCTATTAGGGTGAAATCCATGGTCAAGGTGATTGTCCTAGGATGCGTCCCTACCGAGATGGGTAGGCTAATTATTCCTGTAGGGATAATGGTGTGTCCGGAGAATCCCATTAGCGGCATTGTAGCTGGGCGGATGCAAGGGTTTTTGATGTTCATCTTCTTGAAGCAATCACTATATATGATATCGACCGCGCTTCCATTGTCCACGTAAACCCTTCCGACTTTTACGTTTATGATTATTGCTTCTATGACCATAGCGTCACTGTGGGGACAAATGTCCGGGACTACATCGCTATCTGTGAATACGATGGCCTCTGTTCCTTTGAATCTTTTGTGGCTAGGTTCTTGTCGAGGGGTTTTGGTGACGGTTCGCAATGAGTTTTTCATGGCTGTCAAGGACAAGACTTCGAGGGGAGCTCCATAAATGGCTCCTACCTGGTGGGTGATTAGCTTCGTTGGATCCGTCGGGGGGAGTTGCTGCAACGGCTGTGGCGTTGGTTCAGCGACGGGATAATGTTGCTGTTGGTGGGCATTGGTTCTTGGTTGCCAATTATTTCCTCGGCCATCTTGCCGTGGAGGGCCTCTGAAATTTCTTTTTGGGTGATCTCGCGACTGGGGTCTGTTATTCTTCTGTCGGGAAGCTGTTCCCTGCACATATTGCTGAAATTTTTCAGATTTGACCCCGTTCCCGATTTCACGCTTGAGCTCTCGGCAATCCGTGATCTTTGTGATACTCACAGTATTGTTCAGTTGACCTATTTGGATTAGGGGCCAAGGGTTTCGGAATCGGCAGTTCGTCTCCATGGATCTGGAGGATTTCTCGTCGGAGCTTGGTTAAGGGCGTTAATTGCCTATCCATCTTGGGCAGTGCCGGTCTGCCTTCCTGGGGGATTTTTGGTTTTTCTTTGGGGCCTACCGAGGCGAAGGACTCTTGGGACCTTTTGAGCGTGTGTTCTCACTATATATGGTTCTCGACAATAGCCCACATCTCCTGTGCATTCCTTGGGGGTTTTGTCGAGAGATTAACTCGCAACATTGAGGATTTTCCGAAGGGGTTGAGACCTTGGATGAATCCGTTGCGGACGTCTCGATCGTCAATGTTGTCGACTTGCAAGGTCTCTTGTATGAATCGTCTGTGAAAGTCGGATAGACTCTCATGCAGTCCTTGTCTGATCGAAGAAAGGTCGATGGACATCCGCGATATCCGCTTGCTTTGGAAGAAACGAGTAGCTAGTTTGATGGAAAAATCTTCAAAGCTAGTGACGCTTCCTTCTGGTAGTTGCCCAAACCACCGTTGCGCTGATCCGGATACGTAGGAAGGTAGCGCCTTTGCCATGAAGTTCATGGTTGCGTTTCGGATTCTCATGACTTGAACATATCCTTGCAACCATTGGGAGACATCCGTATCTCCTGAATACGGCTTGAATTCTTTAGGGAAATCGAAGTCTCGGGGCTTAGGTTCATCTCGAATGCTGGGGATGAAGGGGCTTCGGTCCAGCCCTATCCCAATGATTTTTCTCATTTCTTCTCGGATCAGAATGTTCTGGTCTCTTGTTCCTTGCTGGTCTTCCTGGTAGTTGGAGGATTTTCCCTATGACCGTGATATTGTTGCTGTCTTGGAGTCGTGTACCCAGGACGGTGATGGTATCCTTGGTCATAATCGCCCTCGGTGTTGTTGCGGCCTCGACGTGGCTCGTAGTCGTGCCTGTACTCGCCTTTTCAAGGGCTCCTTTGATTCCAATTGAATTCAAGGCGGTTATGTGCCTTGGTTTTCCTTGGGGGCTTCCCTTGTTCTCCATCGAGGATCTCGACGCTCGGGGGATTTGGATTCTCTTCGATGCCTTTCCATTGGTATATCGCGTCGAATTGCTTGAGGGCGGTGTCGAAGGCTGGGTATCTTTCTCTGAAGGCATCCCAAAATATGGTATCTCTGGTAGCATGCGAGCGTTCTTCGCAGGGGCTTTCGTAGCCCTCGGTCTCTTGGTAATTCTTCTGCTCTTGGACTTTCCGCTTGTCCCGTTTCTTCTCGAGGAGGGCCAGGGTTCTGTGAGCTTCTTTTTTGTCAATCAGATCTCCCAACTCTTGTTTTGTAGGGTTGGGTTGTCCAAGGAGACAACGCCGTCTAGTTTCTTCGAGGGCATATCTCCGCATCCTTTGCTGTTGATCACTATCATCGCCCAGCTTCTTGTGTTCGGCCCCGATTTTGGCCAGTTTCTGGTCTTCCAAACGCTTGGCGGTAGTGGGGGTATATCGAGCGGGCGGTATATCCCCTTTTTCAAGTGGAAGATTGGTGTTGCTTTGTTTTTTTGGATTGGGCTGAGAAGCACCGAGGACCAAACGCTCCTTGGTTTGTTCTTTCCTAGGTTCTTTGCCGTGGCTTTTTCCTATCTTTGTTTTTTCTTGCCGGCGTTGGAATTCGGCCAGGGGAGTATTGTCTCCTAGACTACGCTGGTGGTCGGAGGAGGCCGTGCTTCCGGCGTCTTCTTCAACTCTGACCATTGTGACGGTTGTTCTGGCAACCCCGATTGTTATGAGAAGATGTTAAGAAAACCTCAGGAGGTTTCTGCGACACAAATCCTAATTTACGGGCGTGCCACTTGACGATGCACGGATATGCGCCACCGGTTTAACGGTGGAACTCCGGTTAGGGTTTCTTACAAAACAGAGCCTCAGGGTCTCCCGAGGGTAGACACTCCGATGCTTAAGTCAGTAAACAGAATTGCTAGAAAGTTTTGGGAGGTAGTATGTTTGGCTTATAGATTGCGTACCTGAATTACTGTATGAGCTACCCTATTTATAGGTATGTGATTACCCGGATCATTACGAATCCCACTAGGCTTTAGGGATTCCTACCGTCCTAAGAGTCCTAGTTGGATTCTTCTTGTGGTGAGTGGGCCGAGACAATCTCGGTCATGGATCTGGACTCGTCAAGAGGGGATGTTAACAGACTCTCTCAAGATCAAGATCAAGTCACTTCCCAAATTGACGAATCCGAGTGTGAGGTGCAATAAGGTGTATGGAGTTATAAGGCTGATCACACTTATCGATGATGAGATATGTTTGGCTGTTAAGAAATCCTAGAGTATCTTGAAATCCTAAAGATTGATTGCTTCCAATAATTACTAAAATTATCTAGTAAACTAGGTTAGTCTTATCCTTGTAGTTTACTGTAAAAAAGGCTCTTCTATAAATAAAGAGCCACTCGTACAAAGAAGCATTGAGTTAGAAAAAAACAGAAGCAATACAATCTCTGTTTTAAGAAACAAAATTACTATGCCAAAACAACTAATCTAGGGTTACAGTTTACGTTTTTTATCTTGGTATCAGTAGGTTCAGCTGCGGAGGAAACGCCATTGGCGTATGCATATCGCATAGAGTTGCCGATTTCACGTCCTTGATCACGTTCATAAATTCATGGGCGGCCCTGAACCGGGTTGACAGTACCTGCCCGAAATCATCAACTCTGGTACCCGATTTCGATGCAGGGAGGAACCTTTTTCCTGCACCTGAGATTCCTATCTGCCCCCCTCAGATTGATGTGCAAGGGAAAGGAAAGTACGTGTATAAGAAACTTGTGTTCAGCAAGGAAAAGATATCAGAATTGAAACAACTTGCAATTGCTGCTTCCTCCTCCTCATCATCATCATCATCATCGGTGTTGAAGGATCCCACACGGGTAGAAGTCATTTCTGCTTTCATCTGGAACCACTTGATCAATGTGGCACGAGCTAAGGATCAAGCTGTTGGCGGTAATGATGACAAAACAATGTTCAGGATCTGGAATTCTGTGAACGTGAGAACAAGAATCAGTAGCTTGAATTCTTCTTCTTCTAATGACTTCCCTTTTGGCAACTTTTCAATTGTCGCGATCGCTTCCTTCACTCCTCCCGATGAGATTACTGTGGGAAACCCCGATTGCTACCGTGATCTAGTTCAACTCACCGGTGATTCAATGCGGAAAGTCGATGAGGATTACATTTTCAACTGTGCCCGTCCTTTTATGAAAATCTTGGCCTCAGGTTCGGCTGAACTGGAGGTGGATATGCAGAAACCAACCATGAAGATAAGTGATAGGGTTATCACCAGTTGGTGCAGATTTCCGATATATGAAGTGGATTTTGGTTGGGGCAAACCTGTTTCGGTTGGCCCGGCGTCCAGTAAGGCACCTGCACCTGGGGTTCTGTTATTTGGCACAAGATGCGATGACGGAATTGAAGCAGTACTTACCGTGTTAGAAGATGAATTGTCTTTACTTCCGGAGAAGTTTCTTTCACTTGCAACAATTAACTTCTTTTGACACTTAAGTCATCTCACTGATCAATCTTATGTACTCCTTCCGTCCCGAAATGTCCGTCTAATTTGGATTTTCATTTCATGTAACAAGTTGTATTCAAAGTGAAAATTAAAACCAGTCAATCTTTTTGTTTTTTTGGAAAAAGAAACTAGACAATAATTTAGAACAGAGGAAAATATCATTTTCTCGGGTCAATTGTTTATATATGTGTGGGACAAAGACACCCTCCTCCTCCTGTCTCATTTTTAGTTTCTCTTCTTCATTTTGTTAAACTCCGTGGCATTTGAAACTACACAACAACTCCCATGTGGTAAACAAATATCTAATGAACCCCCTTATGGTTAACACCGACGTTTGTAAATTTGAGAAACACACATTAACAAACGGCAAGAACGGACTTCCCCATTTTAGCCATCTTCTCTTTCCTTGATTGTTTGTCCTCATCTACTGCCCTTTGTTTTTGCCTATCCACTTCTTTCTTCGGATTTTATCCTTCCTACTAAGTGATGGTACTCTTCTTTTCATTCTTCTTCTTCCATTTCTTGTTAAAATTAAAAGCATAAAATTTAAACTTGTCACCACTTCCATTTTACAAACTTGAGAGACAAACCATAAGGGGGTTCATTAGATATTTGTTTACCGCAAGGAGTAATCAAGTAGTTTTGGATACCACAGTGGGGCAACTGGAGGTAAACGGACTAACCTGATCTGCACAAAAAAATTTACAATTAATCCATATACTATATAAACTTACAACTAAGACCCTAGAATATTAACCCGTGAAGAACAAACATATCATGGAGGATCGTACGTATTCTTGGAACCTTTTTATATATGATCTACATCACCCATATCCTATCTATATCACATGTTAGAAAAAAAAAATCATGGATTCATTTGAGAAATTGTGACACGGTATGCTTAACTCATCATGCTAGAAAAATTATAGAAGAATTTGACGGAATTAACGTCACAAATAAAAACTGAGGTAAGTAAGATTACAAACCTTAGAACAAATATTCAAACGCTGGGTTACTAATTAAATGTATACATCAAACAAAAAAAAATAGCAAATTTACTAATTAATTTGGTAGACTGGCAACAACAAGTAATGGGGTTTTCTTAATCGTGACCAGACCATGAGCTTCAGTCATGTCCAATTCCTCAGGTTTCTTTCCATCAGCCAATTCAAAGTTAAAGTTAAGAATCAAGTTGGCGAGTGCAAGCTCTGCTATAACTAAGGCAAAGGCGGAACCAGGACAAATTCTCCTTCCAGAACCAAAAGGTAAGAATTGAAAATGATGTCCTTTTAAGTCGACAGGGCTGTTATTTAGGAATCTCTCTGGTCGAAATTCATCTGGTCTTTCCCACGATTCAATGTCTCTTCCAATCGCCCAACCATTGATGTAAACGAATGTTCCGGGTGCAATATCATAACCCAGGATCTTTACCGCCTTTCTTGATTGTCGAACAAGGAACGGAGCAGGAGGATGCATACGTAAGGCTTCTTTGATAACTGCTTTAAGATATGGTAAACTTCCTAAATCCTCTTCGGTGATCATGTCAACTGATTTCGACTTACAACGTGACAATTGTCTCACCTCATCTTTTAGCTTTGTCATTGAAGTTGGGTTTCTTAGTAACTCCGCAAAAGCCCATTCTAAAAGTGTATATGTCGATTCAGTTCCACCAAGAATGATGTCCTGCATGTAACACAAAGTAAATTTATAATGATTATTTTTTAAATCAAATTCAGAAATATTATAATGTAATACATACAGTAATAATTATTACATTACGGTAGCCTCCCCCCAAATTCCCATGTTTACATTAATCTGGGAAAGTCTAATTGAGATCAACACATTATAAGATTATAATTAAAGAATTCATCACGCCAACTGTACCCCGGCCGATTCCACTCTAAAGTTTGACTTTGTTCCTAGTCTACAATGTGCATTTCAGATGGAGTGTAACCAGAATTGTCTTCATTTTTTGGAACAAGATGTCCAATTGGACCAAATATAATCAAATCACCAACGTTAATGAAGAAGATGTAGCGAACTTTTAGAACTTCATGGAGAAAATATATTGTCTATAGAACCTTGAAGTGGAAGTTGGAGTGGGGTGTAATTACTGCAAAATCAAACAACTATATATCATTAAGACAACTACCATTACTCCGTGTATATGTGAAGGTCACGCTGGGCAATTCTTATACCGTGCACCATGGTTCATTATACTTGGTGCACGGGCTACTTAGTACATTATAATTAAGGAACGAGCAATTAATTAAAACTGTAGTAATAAATTAATTAACAAAAAAGGTTCATGCCAGAAACTGTAACAAGCAATTAATGACCACAATATTTTTCATGCCAGAACCATGTTATGATCATGTCATATATGTTCAACTTTTATGACGTTAAATTAAAAATATGAAATTAATAAAAAAGGTTTGCAAATTTAATATCCATACTCATATTATATAATATTCATGAAAGATTATTCAATTGTTCCAACAAATAAAAATATATCAACGAGGTCTTCTCTTGTAAAATATCAAATGTCATACTCATATCATAGGAAATTCATTACTGAGAACTATGGTATTCATGTCATGTACATCTAAATTTCATTACTTTGAAACAGAAAATCACAAATAGAAATTTATGGTTATTAATGTTGTGTTGGCACACATATTGGACTATTCATAAAAATGATATAAAAAGTTCATAAAAATTGGGAAGTATGTATAAATTAATTTTGTGAGCTTATGAAGTATAAAGGTTCATATTCAATGCAGAGAATATTCATGAATGCTAATCTCACTTTTCATATTATGTGTATTTAAATTTCACAAGTTTTCATGACACTGATAAGATTAATCCCGAATGAAAAATATATATAAACATTATATTCATACTAGTATAGAATAGTGTTCATGAAAATTATGCAAATTTTCATAAGAAAAAGAAAAAAATATTAATAAGTTGTTTAGGAATTCATATAAACCTATTGAGAAAATCATGATTGAGAATCATTTTTATTCATAAGATACTGGTGATAAATTTAAATTGTTTCCAATTATCAGTTTACGTTAGTAATTACGACTTAGAATATTAATTTTTTTCGATTTGAAAATATGATAAAAGAAATTGAATGTTGAGAGAGAATGGAGCTAGCAATGTAATGGCAATTTAATTAATTTTCCATTCTATAATTAGCTTGTATTAATAAGACAAGTGCACCAAGAATAGTGAACCTTATCCATCATATAAATTGCCGACGCTGGGGGCCCCAAAGTTTGTTCAAAATTAGCAAAAACGCGTACTACTTCTATTTATGTTATATGGTCACAAAAGAAAACAATAATTGGAAATTTGGTTTATGAATGTATTACCTACATTAATCCTCATTAAATTTATTTATTGGAACTATCAAAATGTAAAAAACATAGTAGAGAAGTACTACCTCTATTGTTTTTAATTAGAATGTAAGAAGTTTTACATTTTTAAGGAAACATTAGTTAACTTTTTCCCGATTGTCGTGTTGACCCTTCGAGCTAATTTGCCCACAATACTTACTCTAACAAATATCATCAATGTAATAAGGTTAATTTAGTAAATCTTTAATACATTTGAGACAAATAACAAAAACTGATTAGTTTTATTGGTATGTGTAAAATTAGTTATTGGCATCTTATCAAAAGGAATGGATGTGGTAGGTGTCATTAATATAAGTTATTAAAATTTGAGAAAGATAAGAGTAAAATTACAAAAACAAATGTTGTTCATGATCCATTGTAAAATGAAGTGCGACAAATGACGAAAACATATTATATCTCCTCTAATGCTGACTTGTAAAAGAAAAAAAAATGGAGGAAATAGTTGAGTGACATAAATTATAAGTTAAAGGATGGATATTGGAGCTTACCAAAATAAGAGCTTTAATTGAATTAATATCGAGAGTGAATGCAAGGGCATTTTCCTGCTGGAGGCCAAGCAAGACATCCAAGAAATTTTGCGGCCTTTTGTCCTCTTTACAATCACCACCATTGATACTGCTGCTGCTCATCATTTTTTCAACACCTTGTTCAACAATACTTTCTAGGTATTCATCCACTTCTTTTGCAACCCTATTCACCTTTGACTCCATACCATTGATGTGATTAAGCCATCCAAGCCAAGGGATGAAATCGGCAATATTTGAATACCCACAAATCATTGTGCACTCCGAAAACAACTCCTGAAACCGATTCCCATTTTTCAATTCTGAGTACCTCTTCCCAATGGCTGCGGAAGAGATTATGTTATTACTAAACCTTGCTAAAATCTCATTTATGCGTACAGTGGAACCTGAAAAACAAGATTCCCTAATGCTCCCCAACATGTTGATGATCTCTTCTTCACGTAGGCTTCTGAATGATTGAACCATCTTGGTCGTCAGAAGCCTGGAAACTGTAACGAGTCGCATTTGCCTCCAATATTCCCCGTATCGCGAAAATCCGATATCCTTAAAATCGTAGAGAAGTCTTCCGACAAAGCTTGGTTGAATCCTATCCGCAAAAATGAGGTCGTTTGTTCGGAGGATTTGTTCAGCTACCTCCGCGGAAGAGATCACGATTGCTTCTCTTCGACCTAGCCGGAGCCGCATCACCGGACCATATATTTGAGCCAATGCTCTCAATCCACGTTGCGGGATGCTTAAGCGGGCGACTTGGTGAAGGTTTCCGACTATAGGAATTCTTGGTGGTGAAGGTGGGAGGTTTTTTGTGGGGTTTTCTGTGTGATTTAGCCATTTGCAGAGAAAGATAATGGAAAGGATGAGTGGAATAAGGACAGGGATGAAATTTTTGAGTAGCATTAATGGTGTCTTAGCTACCATGAACTCCAACTGGAAGGTGGACAGATCCATACTAAGTTGATAGGGATCGTTTAATTTTTCTTTTTTTTTTTTCTTTTGGCACTGTTTTGCTACTTTTATGGACACATAGCCTCAGCTGATATATTGTCTTTTATAGATGATAAATCACAGCAAAAGTTTCATACACCTGAAATTAGTCAAATTAGTTGTGTAGGTTGTTGAAAAAGAAGCGACGAATCTCAATCAAATTATATCTCCAGCCAGTTGTTAGAACTTAAATTATTACATAAGGTGCCACCACGCTGTCCCATACCTCCATTTTCGTTGGACTTGTCATTAAGAAATTAAGCTTCAATCAATGATGACAATGGCGCTTCAAATCTTTTCGGGATTTTTCCTTATTTAATTTTCTTTGGTCCAACAATTCTGCTAAAATAAAAAATAGCATTGATAAGGGCCAAAATAACATGTTAAAAGCAAGACTTTTTAATCTCTTTTACTTGTAAATTGTGGTTCTTAGTAAAGAGTTGTTTATTTATAAGTGAATTTTGTAATGTATGATCAAGGGGCCAGAGTGCAAATATGAGAAAAAGGAGGACAATTCGTGCAAAATTTGGAATGTGGTGATTGGACTCGGCTGCAAATTAAGGAAGAATGTGAGTGATTGGACTTCAAAAAGGTTGCTGTGGGGCTAAAGTTAAGTTCAAAAAGGTGGAAAAAAGGAAATGCTTAGGGAAAAAAAGGACAAGTAAGAATGTGCTTGATAAATGATCAAACACCAAGTAAAAGGCAACCTTGACTCTTTGGAATAGCAAGATCAATTATGCAAAAAGGGACTCAAGAAAAAGGTTCTATAAATGGGTGAGATCAGAATCGGAAGAAGGGAGTTATCTTTTTAGAACACAAAAAGGTGAAGTTCGAGTTGCAGTGCACTGGAGTTGTCAACTCTAGGAAGCAAGAAGTCACCTGAGCAGAACTAAAAAAATCCCCGAGTTCTTCTATCTCCAAGTGTTTTCTAGCTTTGTAATGATGTTGAATGCTCTGTATTTAATTGACTTTGTGTTTTTGCTTGTACGTATAAGTAAGTAAACTCTTTACTAGGGCCTAATTCCTTGAGTCTACGTAGTTAGTTTATCAATTGCACTAGGATGATTTTAAATTCCCAAAACTAAAACTTAAATTAACTTTTTGATTAACCTGATCACTTAATCAATTGTACTTGCATATTATACAAATCCGAAAATGGTAAGCATAGTTTGAAACATTTAGTTTTAGTCCATAATATAGAGATAACAGTCCAAGAATTAAAATAAGATAGGAATATAGCTATTTAGCATAAGTGATCAATAAGACCTAAGAAATTAAAAGTTTTGTGAGTTAAATTTTCATTGTTCAATATTGCAATATTGCAAAGACGCCTATTAAAACAATCAGAAGTGATCTTGAGGTATAATAGTGTCTAATCAAAAACAGGTTCACACCACAAGATTGCAAAAGTTCATAACTTAACTACACAGAGGATGATGGAGGAAGACTGTAGGTTCCCATCGTTTTGTTAAGTCTTTTTTCCGCTTACGTATGTTATGGCTGTTAGTCTGTTCATGTGTTTCTGTTTGTTAGTCAGATTATTAAAAGTTTAATCTGCCTCTATGGGGTTGACCCAATTTTATAATTGTCTGCAGTATAAGTTGATTTTTATCTTATTGGATTTGGCACCTGCCAAGGTACCTTTTATTAAAATAACCTCAATTATTAAATAAGCTAAACTTAATGCCTCTTCGCATTTCTCTCTCTGGTTATCACGTTTCCTCCGTTGAAAATACAATTGGCAGCAACACTTTCTTATACTGATAAAATTATCATATTAATGATTGTATGGTCTGCAAGGATAGCATGTTACAATGATGGTCTGCTATTGATTAGCGGTAATTTTGGTATTGGATAATTTTTATTTTTTATTTTTTTTGTTGTAGATGCCATTTTTTCCTTTGTCCAAATAAATTACCATTTTCTTTTTCTCGAAGAGGACATGATAAAGAAACAAATGAATCAAAAGGGCCTAATCTAAAGGTTTATAGTTTTACGACATGATGCTTTTGGGGTTTGTTTTTCCTTTGAGCCAACGCTCCTAAAATATGTTGTTCAATAGGTATTATTTTTATCGCGAAAAAAAATCTATATTAAATTTTGAGATTTATAGTAATTTTAGTACAAATGTCAAAACTCAATGTCAAAAAAAAAATTTATATTAAATTTTGAGATTTATATTAATATTTTTTCTGTAAATTCTGATGGGCAGAAATATGGTGAATATCCAGTTTAATAAGATGGATAACCAACTTATTTTAAATTGGTTATCCATTGTGTTCATACTGATTATCCAACTAATTTGAACTGGTTATCTATTTTATTTGTACTGCAATTCCATTTGGTTTGTCTGCCTATCCAACTTGTTTTATACTTGTAATTCAACGGGTTTGTATGCATATACAATTTATTTGAACTGGATATCCATTTGGTTCATATGCCTATCCAACTTATGTGTACTGGTTATATAACGGATTTATATGCTTATCCAAATTGTTTATACTGGCTATGCAATAATTTTTTTTTGTTTGGAAAAAATCATTGTCTAATACGCTAATACTGGTAATCCATTTTATTTGTGCCGCTTATCCAATCATTTTTTTTCCCTTGAAACATGGTTATCCAATGTGTTCATAGTGATTTTCTAATCACTTTGTATTGGCTATTCAATTATTTTTACTGCTCTTCCAAATAAGTTTGTATTGCTTGTCCAATCATTTTTTTCTTTTGAGAAAATACTTGTCCCATGTGTTCATTCGTACTGATTATCCAACCCCGTGCTATTGTTTCTCCAGCTATTATTTTTTATTTTTATGAAAATACATGTCCCATATGTTTGTACTTGTTATCCAACTAATTGGTACTGCTCATCCAACCTAATTTTTTCTTAAAATGGTTATCCATTGTGTCCATACTGATAATCCAACCGGTTTGAACTGATTATCCATTTCATTTATCTAATCTATTTTTTTTTTGAAAATCGTTGCTCAATGTGTTAATACTTATTATCTAATTAATTAGTACTGCTTGTCCAACCCAGTTTTTCTTTTTATTATTTTTTTTGGAAAAAATGGTTGTTCAACACGTTCATATTGATTATCCAATTGTTTGGTGTAGATTATCTAAGCATTGTTTTCTCTACTCTTTCGGAAAATCCTTGTCAATTTTTTGGTACTGACTATCCAACCATTTGTATTGGTTATCTAACCATTTTCACTGATTATCCAAACTGAATTTCTTTTCCTTTTTATCTTTTGATAAAATATATGCCCAATGTGTTCATAATGATTATCCATCCGACTTCTTGGTGATGCTTATCCAACCTTTTTTTTCCTTGTTTTTTTATGGAAACGATTGTCCAATTTTTTCGTACTAATTATCCAACCAGTTCATACTGGTTATTCAATTATTTTCACTGGTTATCCAAAGTATTTGTAATGTGTCCATACTAATTATCTGACTCCTTGGTGGTGGTTATCCAATTTTTTTTTCTTGCTCTTTTATGAAAATGCTTGTGCAATTCTTTTGCATTGATTATCCAACTAGTTTGTACTGTTTATCCAATTATTGTCACTGGTTATCCAAGTGATTTGTAATGGTTATCCACTCATTTTTCCCTTTTTTTCCGGAAAAACGGTTGTCCAACGTCTTTGAACTGGTTATCCAACACAAATAGTTTCTTCGTTTCTGCTCGGGATATTTTAATTTTTTTATTTTTTGAAATTAATATTTGATATTGATCTCATCGGATAGATCTCGTCGATTACTATAAATTTCATGTATAATTCGGTTTTTAATTATTCACGGACCAAGAGATATAAGGAACACAACAATATGAATGTAAAATAAGTTGGTTATCCATCTTCTTAAATTGGATATCCACTTTATTTCTGCCCATCAGAATTTAATTATTTTTAAGTCTGAAAAAAAAATTCCGTATGGATCTTGTTGGATAGATCTCGACGAGTACAATAAAATTCATGTGTAACACGTTTTCTAATTCTTCACGAATTGAGAGATATACTCATTTAAAGATTAGAGATATTTTTTGGAGGAGAAAGAAAAAAATGACAGTGACTAAACTTGCAAAATATAAGAATATTGAAGAAAAGTACAATAAGGACTACATGTGCAAAAAAATAGGAGGGGAATTTTTAAAATTGCTATGTAAAGGGGGGGTGTTTACTCATATTTAAGTGGGGTCCATTGGGGTGGATTTTTAAATAAAAAAATCTTAAGAATTTTTTTTTTGCTAAAATTAGTGAAATCAAATTGTCAAATATCAACGAGAAAAGTTTAACTTTCAAATGTAAACTTTAACTTTTTAAACAGACACTTCAGATATCTGATTTAAAAGTTACGTTTTCAAAGTTGGTGTATTTACTTGTTGACTTGCCAGTTAAAGATAAAGTTGATGTCTCTAATTTTAATTTTAGTGAAGTGTTCTTTATGTAAGATTTTATTTGATTTTGATATAGTCTAGTAATATTCAGGGAAAAAAGTTTCCTAAAAGCATTAATGAAGGAAGATTAATCTTCTTTTTCACCTTCGTATTCTACTCTGTTTTTTTGTTTTATTTGTTATGAAATATTTGATTTGATTTGATTGAATGTCAATAATTAACATGTATTATTCTAATCACAATCAAGGAGATATGATTCTGTAATAATTAGCATTAATGATAGGTGATTCATTTCCCACAGTTTGATCCCCTACTTCTTGTATAAATAGGGAGCTCATTCATGCTTCAACGGACATCTGAATACAAGTCCCTTATTCCACTCCACTCTCTTGTCTCTCCCCTTTATTCTTATGCTTAGTTTCATATTAGTAGTCTAGCATTAATTTTATAACACGTTATCAGCATGAAGACTCTAGCAAAAGAGCTTCTACCACCGTCTGAAGTTGGTGCGTATTGATTCTGAGGCCTGAAGCCTCAATGAATATTTTAATTCTACTACCGC